TGGGCTCTCTCTGGGTACTCTGGTTTCCTTCCACAGTCCAAACACACGTTACAGTTGTGGTCAGATGTTTACATTCACTCATCATTGGCATGAATCTCATGGTAATTTGGGGCTTTTAATGGTTTCTTTGAACTGTTGTATTTCCGGGGTGGAATGATTGTACAGGATACATCTTTAATGGCTTGATGAGTTCATAGCAGGCTTAACCAATTCCCTCTCATCTAAGGGTGACAGTTTGGGTCTTCTTCCAGACTTTGACAAAAACACAGTTACCAGACCCCGTGTGTATACTTTTAACCCTGTTTGTGAATCAGAGAAAGTCCATTATAAATTCAGAAGAATAGTTCAAAGAAATCATTAAAAGTCCCCTAATACTATGTCAGTCCTCCTCACGATAAGTGTAAACTTCTGACCACATCTATAGGTTAACTGATGATGGTGTCTTAGCCATGCAACAGATTGGCAACCTCTTCATGGTGTAACCCGTCTCTATGGAAGATTGAATGAATGACTGTATTAATCACACCTACATAATGATTATATGAAATCAAATCACCCAGTTATCATGAACTGAATGCTTTTTGTTTTCCAAATTATGCTCATAGTGTCTCTAAAATCTTCTGTTTTTTTCAGTGCTTGCAGAAGATGCCATAAAAGCAGCACTGTCAGACTACCGGCTAAAGCAACAGGACAAGGAGGAACATGTTAATGCCAGCAATTAATGTTTTATTCACTGACTATATTAATAGATTTATGCTATTGTTGGATATTGTGCCTCTCCTAGTGCCAGAGCAGTGCAGACGGGTCGCTGTAATCACATCACACCGGATCTTGCATCCGTTGGGGAATTCTCCACAGGTGTGGGATCAGTCTCTTGAGTTTAAGCCAAGGGTCACATATTGTTCAAGTGTTAATAGCGTTTATGGATTCTTTGCTTTTATCACACAATCAGAATCGCTTAATTAACAATGGGTTCATGGTGAAGCTTAACACTTTAATACACAGAGCATTAAAGACATTCTTAATGAAGCAGGGATGTGGGTTTGTATTTTTATTTTTTTGGCTTTGAGGCTCTTTCTGGCTCACTTGTGAGACAATGTAGGTCCCAGATGAAAGACTTGGTATGAGAATGTCAACAGTTAAAGTTTACATACAAAAAAAAGTTCAGAAAATTTGTATGAGGTGCTTTGCTTACTGTGAATAAACAGATTAAAAGACTTCAGTGTCTGTGTGTGTGTAAATGTCATCCTGCTGATCCTGAATCAGCAGGAGCCACCCTCTGCTGACGCACGAGCACCTTTTTCAGCATGAGCAGCACTGCCAGCATTACGAGAGCCACTAACACACACAGCACAATGAGCAGAGAGACTATCGCTGCAGAGGCCTGCTGAGTGAATGGCTGTGGGACGAGAGTGGGCACGAGTGCATCTCTATGTGTGGATAGCAAGAACTGTGTCCCCTCAGCAGGGGTTATGTTACTCTGAGGGTATCGAGCTGTAATGTTGTCTCTGCACCTCTGTTCCTCCTCAGGGAGAGAAGTAGTAGTCTTTAATTGGAAGGGGCTGACTGACTGACTGTTATTTAGGGATAAACACTCCTCATAGGTAAGAGTCTCTAAAGAGTAGTGCAAGACACGCGTCTTGGAAGAGTCTTGATTACTGTTTGGAGCTTTGGAAAGCAGTCCATTAGTGGCTAGTTTTGATATTTTCTCTGCTGGCTGCACTGTTAGCATCCTCGCCTGTGCAAAGCTGAGGTCACGTTCGTGTGTCCTGTCATTTGGCTTCAGGACACGAGGACAGATGGCCACGACAGAGAGATTCAGAAGCAGACGGTGGGCGAGATGATCAGGCTCTGTGCACACAATGTCTGTGGCCATCTTAAGCCTACCGCTCAGCAGCCAGCGGTATAGATACAGAATGTCACACTCGCACACCCACAGGTTGTTGGTGAGGTCCACAGATCTGAGACGTGGCAGGCTGTCAAAGGCGCTCTCTGGGACTGACCGCAGGCAGTTGCTGTTGATCTTCAGGACCTGCAGGTTGACCAGGGCAGACAGTGAGCGCAGGTCCAAGGCAGAGATGCAGTTTTCTGAAAGATCTAAGTGGGTCAGTGATGGTGGAAGACTCATGGGGAGACTGGTAAGCCTGTTCCCCTTCAGCGTCAGGACCTGCAGCTTGTGGAGACCCTGAAGTGCCCCGGGCTGGATGGCACGAATACGGTTGTCCTCTAAGTCCAGGTGAGTGAGGTTTCCCAGCTGCCTCAGGACACCTGAGGTGATGTAAGTAATGCGGTTTTCTTGCAGCTGCAGGGACTCCAGGCTGGGAGGCAGGCCACGAGGGAAGCGGGCTAGCAGATTGTGACTGAGGCTGAGCTCCTGGAGGCCGGAGAAGGGCCAGAGCTGGTGGTCCACATTACAGAGCTGGTTTCTGGCCACAGATAGAGCTGAGGTACTGAGAGGAACCGAGCGAGGGAGTGACCTCAGGCCTAGTGACTCACACAGAACCAGAAATCCTGGGCAGCAGCACCCAGTAGGACAGGGAGACACTGCAAGGCAGGCTAGAGGACAGATGCAGAGAGCCAGCAGGACACCACATCTGCACCAAAGCATGACTCACTGCAAGAATAATGCAGGAAAGATGAGAAGTTAGATGAATTTAGAGGATATGGTTCTTCTAAAAGTTCTATAAAGGAAGAGGTATAATGTCTTAATATGGCTTTATTAAAGGTTAATAAGCAGCTGAAAGATCCCTGGTTTGATCCAGGAAGGACAGACAAATTCCACTGGGGCTGCATCAGGAAGTGCATCTGACATAGAAACTCTGCCAAAACAAACACGTGGAGCCACCTGCTGTGGTAATCCCGTGTGGATAAGGAAACAGCCAAAAGCAGCTTTATTAAAGGTTAATGAACCATTCATTAATACCAGTACTCCACCAGCACACTCTGGTACATATAATGACCTTATGGAAAAGAGCTGCAGAGTGTAAAACCCATTCATGGAATTGCCAAAACTATTTATAAAGCCACTTCTTACATCTTAAAACCCCATGACAAGGTGTGACTTGTTATAAAGTGATGCCAAAGAGTTAAAGCTGCCTCACTTACCATTCTTCTTTCTGTGTATTATCTGCTCCTCCAAAGAGACAGGCAGGGGTGCTTTCCCATGCTCCCTACGTGATCGACTGTCCCTCTAAAGATAACCGACGTTGCTGATAATTCCAGGCAGATGCTCATCAAAGTTTAATGACAGCCTTAAGGAGCTCTATTACCTGTTCTTTATCATCTTCTCCATCCGAACTGACCAAGAAGTCCTTTTGTTTGTCAGCTGTTTTATGATGAACAAGCTGAAAATACAAAAGGCATTCAGAAAAAACAAAATGGTATGAAAAAATGGATGTCCTAAATATTCTCCTGTTGGAGCCCAGCTAAGGTGGAGGTTATTAGAGACTTTAGTGAAGATGTGCTACAAGGTTTGCATCTTTCTGGAAGGAAGAGTGAAAGTAAGGGGCTAGCATTTTCTCGAATTATTTAGCACCTCATTGATAAAAGAGCAGGGAATCTGAGCCCGGTGTAAGGCTCTGTCTGGGCTCACGTTTCAGCCACCACATGGTTACACTTGCTTTTCAGCTGGTGCGCTATCATGTCCCGTTTGATCTTTGGCAGTTTGACCTACTTAAGACCTGAAAGGAGTTTTATGTTTGAGGATTAAAAAAACATTCTTATGAATTTTCTACATTTTTAAAACAGATTTCAGATGGCATCATGATTTATCCATGTCACGCTGGAAATAAGATATATTAAAATACACAACTGAAAGAGTTGCACTGTTCATACAGCATCAATATTTCATTACTTGCTCAAAATATGGAACAAAAGGGATTTGACTTTTTATCATAATTCTAATGGGAACAAATCAGGGTTCCCAGGATTTGTATAAACAATACATGAGCTCTTGTTTTGTGCCAAAGGGTCCGTATGTATCTGGATTACTGCTATTGAAATATTAAACAATTCTGTACAGTTGCCAGCAAAGGACAAAGGGGGCTCTCGTCATCTCCAGGCTCGAGTACCTTCTTCTGCAGTCCTGCGAGGTGATGGTGCCAGCGGCTTCATCCTGGCCAATCAGAAAGCTCTGGCAGTGTTTTTTTTTTTCTTTTGCAGATCAGGGGTTTGAACTGTTAAAAGAGATGACAGCCTATATCATCACAGAGCAGATATCACAGATCTGGCATTTCGGTAATTACCTTAAAATAGTTACCAGTGATTTCTGTGTGGACGCAGGTCAAAATGACAGATTCCCAAGTGGAACATAATGTGCACGTTGAGATTGTCCTCTTTGTTTTCCGAGACCTTCCTCGCCTTTTCTAATTGTAGGTTTCCACAGGGTTGTATCTGTGCTTCATTTGGCGTAGCTTCAGCCATTTATGCTGCTACATTTACGGCACTCAGAGACATCTTTCTTGATAGCTTTATTAAATATAAGCAAAACAAAATGGTCTTTTTGTAAACAATTCAAGTGTCAAAAAGAAAGCAACTGTGGTTGAGGTTAGGCGGAAAACAGTACGTCAGCATGACAAAAGCATTGGCACATAATTCAGGCTTAGATTAGATGTTCAAGGTCATTAACTTAACAACAGGACAGAGTAATTTAATCAAAGAAAATCAGATGAGAGAGACAAATATGCATCTGTCAAGCCTATACACGTAAGCTAAACATGCCAACTGTCTATCCTTCTACTCACATTTCAAACTTTTACACTTAAAATAAAAAAGCATAATTTATCATATACATAAATGCACTAACTATTTAAAAGAAAAGCTTAAACATTTGTTTTCTACTGCCTACTTTTTTATACATTTGCCCATTGAGAGCAGGTCAAAGGTATTAGCCGAATAAATATGTACAGTCATTGTACAAAGAAAGTGCCTCTTTCAGTTCAAGACAGTTCAGAACAGCATCCTGTGACATATTACAACATGTCATTGATTTAACAAAGACTAAGCTGAAATGCAGAAGCAGTGTTTGAAAACTAAGTCCACCCTTCCATTGTGAAGTAAGGGGGTAACTAACAGCCAGGTACTGCTGATCAAATGCATTTGATTAACTAATCATTGATTAACTAATCATTGATTAACTAATTCTTTATAAAAACCTTTATAAAATCAGAGGTTTGTAGGTCTGTGGTATTCAGGTGTGTTGACACAATGCTGAGGATGAAAGACATCAGCAACAGCCATCAGTGTGGGAAAGGTCATAAGGTCATTTCCAAACAAACTGAACTCCATCACTCTACAGTGAGAAATAATTCACAAGTGGAAAATTTCCCAGCAAATTCACCACACGGTCCCCGCCCCTGAGATCTACACCCCAGACTGTGCAGGCCTCAGTTAGCATGTTAAATGTTAAAGTTCATGACAAAACAATTATCAAAGAAAAGACTTAACAAATGTGGCTTATTTGGAAGGGTTGCCAGTAGAGATGCTTAGGTTTAAGTTACATCTGATTAAACCACAAGACCAAAGCAGATATGTGTGGTCACTGTGCACGGCGCCATGTTTGGGGAAAACTGAACACAGCATATCAGCACAAACCCTTCATAACAACTGCCAAGCACGTTGGTTGCAGCCACTGTGTCCACCATGAACTGCTCTGCAAATACCAAAGTATTGTTGAGTCTAATGTGAGACCATCTGTCTGACAGCTTACGCTTGGCCTAAATTTGGTTATACATCAGGACAATGATCCCAAACACAACATCGAATCTACAACAGAATGATTGTTGCAATGGTTCAGCCAAATTTCAGATCTCAGCTCGATTGTAATGTTGCAGGCCAAATGCCCGCAAACCTCAATGAACCGAAGCACTGCAGTAAAGAAGAATGGACCAAACTTCCTCCACAACGACGCGTGAGACTCATAAAGTCATTCGGAAAACAATGACTTCAGATTATCGCCGCTAAAGGAGCGAACTTAATGTTTTACACTCTGCTTCTGCATTTTGGTCTGCAGTTTTTCATTTTAAGACCTGATCATTCTTTAATATGTCCTGATACGTGAAACCTTAGAACTGAAACACACTGTGATCTCTTTTTACCATGACATGCAGTACACATAGTAGATTTGTGGTAATTTATACAGCCTTTATTCAGATACCTAAAAATAACACAGTTAAAAATGTTTATTTTTGTTTATACATTTTGGTTTTTAAAATAAAATATGATATCATGTGAAACTTAACAACCCGATGCAAACAAAATGAAGTAAATATAACTGTAAATATAAAGAGAAAGTTTTGCTACTTATCACGTCAAGTTTACTGACATTTCACTTTGACTTATTTACAGCACCGAACGTGTTGCTCTAAATGACGGATCCAGATGTTTTCACTCCAGCAGGACATAATGAGGAGATTCCTTTGGACAGGTATGTGGAATAATACTTTATTTTAGTTCCCTTTGAAAGTGTTATTCACAGGAAAAGAATACGTATTATATAAAGTTTTACTGCCTCAGTAGCACAGTGGTGTTATGTTTTTTTCAGTAATTACAGGAAAAAGAAAAATCATGTGCTTGCCGTGCCAAGTTAAAGTTGTTTTCGGCACATGAAGACAAAGTGGCCGTTAAAAGGGTCTCGGTATGCTGCTATCTTTCCTCGTGCCTGCTTATCAATCAAACAATTTGAGCTGTACCATTTGTAAACTTTTCAGTAACCAGTGATTCGGGTAATAATCCTCTTCACTGTATATTTAAATCTAGATCTTAGACTTTAATGATGGGTAATTTTTCTTCATGAGGCATGACTTCACTTAAATATAGACCTATTTCCCTCTGTAAGGCTATTCTAATGAAAACACATTTTGAGGACCCATTTTGCCTTTGCCCGTTTCTGATCTTGTTTAAGAGGCGAGAAAAAGCCCACTACTGTGACTTAGTGGTGGCCTTTTTTCAGATGGCAGGTGCAGACTGGCTGACTGGAGCTAGAGCTGGAGCTGGTGCTGGGACTGGAGCTCTGCTGAACCTCCTCCCTGTGCTTCACCTTCTCTTTGTGTTTTGGTTCCTCTCTCCGCTTTTCCACTGCCTCTGTATCTCTGACCTTTCTGACCTCCTGTCGAGGTGATGACCGGACGTCTCTCCCTCTCTCTCCCACCAGTGCCTTAGAGGGCATCCGCAGGTTCTTCGGGGAGGACATGCTCTGAGTCTGGACCCTCTTGACGTGATCGACGGCGTACGGTTTCTCCTGCAGGTCACTTGAATCCTTGCGTCCTCCGGCTTTATCGGCCGTATACTTCCTGGGTGGATGAGGTAGGGGCTTATACGCCTCCAGCTTGCGCTTGTGACTCATTGCAGAGGCACAGCAGATGATGAAGACCATGACAATGAGAAGAGAGGTCACCACGATGATGATGAGCATGTTCTCCTGCAGGAAGTCCACTACTCGGGTCAGGACGTAGTCCTTCAGACGGATCATGGTGGTGGTTATGGTGTTGGTGAGAGTGGGACCCCCGGTAGCAGCGGTAACGTGAACAGGCGCACGGGTGGAGAAAGACACCGGGAAAAGGAGCTCCAGCTCGGCTTCATCTCCGCTGCCATCCATGGATATGTTGTAGAACAGAGGTGTGGCGTGACACACAGAGCAGCACAGTGAGAGCAGGGTCACACAGGAGACCTGAAACACCAAGTGAGACTTCATCTTCTCTTTGAGTCCTGCAGAAACAACAAGAGGATGCTTTTAATTTCAGGCAGCACATAGACTCGAAGTCACTGAAAGAATAAAGTTGATTGTTAGGTGAAAAGATTTGGGACTGCCTTTCTCAACTTTAATATCTGATCAGGAGGCATGTGGTCCTGTCTTGGGTAAGATTTTTGACGTGCACGTTTCTGGTTGTACTGTCTCTGTTGGCAAGTGTTGTGCACACGTGTAGTGCTCTGTTGGCTATTTTATTTTTAATCTAACATTGCATCAGAGCTGGAAACTGAGGAAAAAAGCCAGCTTGGCTTCATTCTGATGGATGACAATGTGTCCAACAGCTCCTCTAAAACAGCTCTAAATCTTGTTGGTTTCATCCTCACACATTAGGAAGACATAAAATGTAATAGCTTTAGTTTTAATGTGGTCTGACTGTTTCCCTTAAGACCAGCAGCCTGTTGCAGTGACTCCTGGTTTTCAGGTGCTGGTAGGACAAAAGCCTCACTAACTGTTGCTACTCTTTATCTTAAGCTCCTCACTCACCCTAAATATTTACCGTATCACATCTCAAGTGTGACTGGTATCCATCTTGACCCGGGTTTTTCATTTGCTGCCTCTCTCTCTCCTGCACCAGGTCTATTTTAGCAGACAGCAGAGTAGCCATTACTTACTCGGGGTGGAGACAGTGAGTTTGGAGCTGGAGGCCTTATAATTTGTAAAGCAGAGGGAGGCCACCCATCCACCACACCAAAGCCAGGAGGAAACTGTATTCTAAAGTGAGTACAGAGGCGTGGGAGACCTGCGGCTCTCGCCTCTATATTTACGCTGGGCAGCAGCTGCTGTTCACCAGCCCACAGCAGCACAGTCTCACTGAGGATATTTCTGCTTCCAGGAAAAGCTGCATTTACACCATGACTGAGTGAAACCTCCTAGCTTGCTCAGTGTTACATTTCTCCATCCTTTTCTTTTTGGCTTCCTCTCACTGAGAAGATTTAACCAAAACCAGTGAGTCTGTTAGCTCTGCAAACCTGTTTAAGTCTTTAACCCAGTCTGTAATTACACAGTGCTAAGCTGTAAAGACAAGCTCCCCTTCCCAGTGTGGTCAAACATACAGCATGTACTGTGCTGCACCAGATGGCGGGCTGGGTCTCCATCCTTGAATGTACAGCTCTAGGACAGCCCTGCCCCTTAAGTCCCCATAATTACAGCTAAAATTACATTTCCTGTATTTCACTAGAGGGTCGCCCTTACCTTCAGCTCAAAGCCTTCTAATTTGTGACATTTTAAAGCTTTTATAAACTTAATTACATGAAAAACTTTGAAGGTGCAGAGCCATATTTTACACATATATATAGATATATAGATATATAGATATACCTATCTCACATTCAGTCTGATGACCTAGTGTGCAGCAACTTACTAAACAAATGTTAGACCATCTCAAATATTTCTTGACATACAATTGTGGCTACCTGGTACACGCAGATTCAAGGTTAGACATTTAAATCTTTTTTTTAAGTATTCAGAAGAAAATAATCCATAAATAAGTTGTGCATTCAAAACTATAGAAGTATTTAAGAACTGTACCAACGATCCCTTTAACTTTTGCTGCAATATTACTACTATTACAGTATTATAGCACAAGATTATCAGCATAGTTTAATCTGTAGTGATGCATCACATGATTTACATGAAAAGTGTGCAACATTGAATGTACTTTTGCACAATCAAAAGTACATTCAGACTTCATTTATTTCTTCATCACTATTTGCCACTCGTGAAACGAATGTATGAAAGTACAACGTATGAAAGGTCAAACATCCTGAAAATATTTGGCTTCTCTTTAACCTTGAACTTAATTTCACTACAAATGTAAAATGCATACTTACAGGATGTGCTGGCCTCGGCTTCTCTTCTGTGCAGCACAAAGCAGTGAGTAAGACTGCAGAAAGAGGGAGGAAAAGGGGGAGACAAGACAAGACAAGACGGACAGACGAGAAAGTAAGAGTGGAAGACAGTTTCCGAGGATTCGCCCTCCCTGCTGACTTGTGCCGACTTGTTGTTTTACTGAGCTCTTAAAAGTATCCTCACCTCAAACTCATGTCCAGCCCTCCATCTTCAGGTTCTCCTCCCTCTTTTTCTTTTTCTTTCTGAACTTTCTATCCTCCAACAGCCTAACTCTTGGTAAGTTCATGTAGCCGGCCATGTGGGACCAGATTTTTTTTATCATCCATATGTTTTTTTGAGAAACATTTGATCTGATACTTCACACTAACAGGACAAAAGATACACGGGATGCTCTACAAATAGAAACAGTCTTTATTTGCAACGAAAGGCTAATTTTCCACAGTATGTGCTCGTCCATTCACAGTCTGACTGACAGATTCAACTTTAGCCTCAGTGTTTATCTTTAAAACAAATATGTTGCAGTTGGTGCATGTTAGTCCCAAGTTCTTCGGAAAACAGTATTTCTATTCTTGGTGGGGCGAGTTCCACAACTTTTTTTTGGCCTGCACTGAATACTCTCTAATTACGTTCCTGCTGATTACAGCCTGTCTCTGCAGGGCATACAAGACCAGTACAGGGAGAAAGGACTCTTTTCATGTACAGAGCAAATATATGAACTAAATGGACTTTTAGGAGCACTGGATAACTGTTTAACTTGCAGGGCATTTATTTAAGGGTGCTCGTGTTTCTCGTCTTGTTACACAGTACTGCGTAAAAGTGTCAATTATAGTTTTTTTTCTTTCCAGGGAGCCAAACCTTTCTCAAAGTGGTCTTAAGAAATAGTTTCTGAAGGCCATTTTCTGGAAATCTTTCAGTTTTCTTTGGACATTGGCTGCTTTTTCATTCATTTTCAGTCCAGTTCTTGTACCCGTCCAGTTTCACAGGAATGTTTTTCTTTTTTAAGCCACTTAACACTGACCCATGAATCATGCATGCATTATAAACGGCACCAGTGTTGTGTCTGCACATAACAAACAAAGAACCAAGTTCTATATTTAGCCACTTTGGAATAAAGTAGTGGTAATGAGAGGCTGGTAGTAACTATTTGTTTAGTTGAATCTGTAGAAAATGGTAAAGATTAAAGTGT